CAGTAGCAAGTTACAGACTTGCAAATGAGCTCTTTGCCACACACACTTCAGAATTCCCAAATCTCAGCCCCATCAAAAGGAATATATTTCTCCCAACCTAGGAAGTTATTAATGCGCTTGTATGGCCACACAAGAGGAATGGGCAGTCATACCATTTGACGTGACATGATTTGCAATAAAAAAATTGTGGGCGTCACTGGGTTTTCCCCCATCTCTCTTATTCTGTTGGAGGGATTTCCATCATTGATTGGAAAATCCCTGGCCATTCTCATCATCAAATTTTGGTGAGACAGGAATATGTATTCTTTCCAGGGCAGACATTTTTCTTTATCTTCTTGTCTGATCTATGGAAAGCATCTGCCAACCAAGGCAAGAACAATGACTGTGGGCCAAAGCAAACATAGATTACTAGGTACAGAATAGTGATCAAATTAAAAGGCACGCAAGCCATGCAGCTCTCTGTGACTAGGAAGGAAACAAAACTGTCCCTTCCAAATAAGATGTAGCTTCCATGGGTGCAGGTCCACAGAATCTCTACAGATTATTTGCCATGGAGTTTCGATCTGCCTAATGTGTTTTTATCAATAGAATTAAAATTTAAAGATGAACTTCATACAAAGTCCAAAAAACAAATAGCTCCAGTTTCCCAAAGGGTCAGCCTGCTGCCCCCTGCTCTGTCATGGGGATTGAGGTTGACTAAGCAGGATTAAACCTACAATGCTGAACTCTTAAGAGAGAATCTTCACCAAGAAACAAGCAATACATTTTCTGCTGAAGTCCTGCATCTTTGCAGTGTTTTCTCCTTAAATATCTACCACATCACATCTCTGGCAGCTTTAATGACATGACCAAAGATATTTTGTTTTGTATCTTATTTTTGAGAAGCTTATGTAATAGTGTTTTCACATGGTATGTGGATATGAGAGGAAGTACTGTTGTGGTCTTTTAACCTGACTTTCCCTCTCTGGGTTTACTAGCATTTTACTGAATGTTATAATTGGCCTCATTTGGTTAATTATTGTGATTTTTTTCTGTTAAATATATTAAAGTGTTTCAAATATTCTGTTGTAATTAATTACTATTGATTATCATATCATTAAACATAGTGCTTTAATTGAGGAATGCCATTTTCTCAAAAAATTCAGAGATGATTCATTACACTTTGTTTACATACTGTAGTTTAAGAAGCTAAGCAATAAGAGGCAACAGAATTGCCATTCTTTTAATCCACTGCAGCTATATACTAACTAATCTGTAAATGAAGCAGTTGCACCATAGCCACACACTTTAGAATACTGCATAGCAATTACATCTGCTGTTCAATTGCAATAACAATGTAAATAATTAATCAGCAAAAAACTTTAATAATATCAGATCAAATATTGAGGTGACTAAAGACATTTTTACTCAGTTCGCACTCAGGTAAACATCCACTGTAGTAATTTAAAAGATTAAGTAAAGACTTTAGGATTTGGCTCAGTGCTAATAGATTTATTCTGATCTTTCTTCTGTGCTATTAGGCACTATAGGATGTCATCATCAGTTAATCAGAATGTTTGCTTTAATTCCATTATTTTATAACTGGAGTTTGAAGACATTTCCTAGAACTACAGATATTTTACTGGTTTAATCTCACAATAGGTATTAAATACAACTTTGCAATAAAGATTACCAGATGGAATGGCTTTAATTACTTTAGAATAAAGATGACGAAAAATTCTATTTACTACTACTTCTATAAGACTATGCATTTGTGAGGAGAAAAAATTAGCTTACTACATAAGGTGAAATCAGGCAAAACTTATTCAGGCAAAACTACTGCTGAAAGATAGTTTTGCATGAAGATATGTCTACACTGCAGAATTTTTTCAGAAAAATGGCCGTTTTTCTGAAAAAAAATTTCACTTACATCCACACTGCAATCATGTTCTTTAAAAAAAATATTGAAAGAACAGAGGGGTTTTTCTGATATTAGTAAACCTCTTTCTATGAGGAAAAAGCCTTTTTCCAAAAGAGCTTTTTTGGAAAAAGGTATGTGTGGACAGGGAAAAGGGAGTTCTTTCAAAAGAAGAGGAAAGAGGAAAAAGCACAGGTGCCCTGGTGGCCACTCCATCCATAGTAATCACAACTTAAAAGCAAAATAACGTCCATCCAGTGTGGACGCTATCTTTCAAAAAAGCAGATTGATTTCTCCATGCACTTTTGCTGTGTAGACGCTCTCTTTCAGAGGAAGTTTTTTCAGAAGATCTCTTCCAGAATAGCTTCTTCCGAAACAAGCCTACAATATAGATGTAGCCTGAGTAAGGTGTGAGTAAGGGCTGCAGAATTTGACTCTGAGACTAATTTGCCGCTGAACAAAGAATAAGGGAGGCAAACAAGAGAGTTCATTTCTTCTAGCATGACAGATATGTTTCTACATTACAACTATATTGAGTTGGCATTAAAATGCTACTGTCTGTAGGACATCACCACTGCATTTGCCCAACCTCTATCCATGTGAAAAGTGAGCTCTTGGCCAGAACACTGAATGATTTATTTAAAAAATATACCTCAGAGCCTGTAGATTAGATGGTTTGTAACATAGCTACTATGGCCCAAGCATTTTGCATCTGATTCAAAGAAAAAGAAATTTGTGGTTTTGACTCCAGAATTAACCCAATTATGTATTATTCAGGATGTATAAATGTAAATAAAAGGTAAATAGTACAAATTAAGTCTCTCTGAGCTAAGAGGCATTGAATGTATGATGCAACAGTGACCCTGGAAGACCAGTACCAACTCACACCAAGTTCCCTAGCCAGTTTTCCCTGTAAGCTGTGCACTTGTGCCCATCGGATTAGCAGAGCACCCACAGCTAAATTTTTGTTTTTACTGGAGTTGCACATTTGCCCAATCCTCAGTGCACATAGAATGTATTCTGTACATGGATGGCAAAAAACTGCACATGAATGGAAAAGATTAGAGGGAACATTGCCCTTAGCCTCATTGAAAACCAACAAATGCATAGCTGGAAAAGAGTATGTCTCCCTTGTGTGTTCATCTTGTTAAAATAGGTATTGGACTTATGCGGTTTTCAAATTGGGGTACATGTATCCCTGTCAGAGTGTATGTGAGAAAAATCCTTTAACAGCAGACAATGCATCAATGTTATTCCTTTCAGACCTTCTTTCCTATTCTCATAGGTATATTATGAACCTATCTCAAATGGGGATACATAATAGTCCATATTATTTGGAAAGAGGCACACAACCTAAGAGTTTAAAAAACACTGACATATCAGTGCGCATAGCGTTTAGACATTATGAAATGAACCATGATATGTCATGCTTTAAAGTAATACTTAGGTGTCTGCTCTATAGCTGTAAAATGTTGGCTCTGAAACTATTCACCACACAGGAAAAAATGTTTCTAATGCAAAATGCTGGACTCTTACAGAAGGTGTTATCTGCTGCCCATCAGTAAGAATCCAAATGGATCATTGTAGAACGAATACTTTGTTTCCACCCAGCCTTGAAAAGGATACAATGCCCTCATCCTATCACAGCTTGAATTCTGGGGGAAGGGAACAAAATGCCTTTTAAGGAGAATGTATTATTCCTATGCTGCTTGTTCGGAGGAATTTTAGTACAGGAAGTCACGGAAATGATTGCTATGACAGTTTGTTTGTGACCGATCAAATAAATTAGAGATTTTACAGTTAAAGGATGAACCAAATCAGCCATGATAATAATAGACAGTAAATAGTGCTGTTGATGAGGAAAAACTCATATTGCAGGTGGATGGTTAAAAGTTTATTTTGGCTATAGATTCAGCATACTGAGAAAATCTGTTCTGTCCACTAATGCTTTCTACTCTAAAGTCACTCTGATGTGGTGACTGGCTCTAACATCCAGGAAGTAGTAGCAGCGAGTTACCTAGGCCCATGGTGCGTGGACTCCAGGAATATTCCTGGCCTAGGGCCTCAGCTCCAGCAAAGTTTGCATCCAGGTCCCTCCCCCACCCCACCTGCAATCCCCACACACCTTCTCCAATGCATTCCCACCTACCCCAGCTGATTTAAAATGGCCATGAGGCCCCATTGCCACTACCAGAATCACAGTGGGGCTAGAATGGCTTCCTATCTGCTCACTCCACAGGGTTGCAAGCATGGCCCTGTGGCCCTACGGGTGGTGGCTGTCTCTGTGTGCTGTCCCTGCCCTAAGCACCTCTGTGGCCAATGGGAAGCTGAGGGGCGGTGCCTGCAAGCAGCAGTGTACGGAGAACCTCTTGTTTCCCAGCCCCACTAGAAGGGGATTTCCCAGATAAGAGCCACACCCCTGATCACCTTTCCACCGCACCCTTCCCACATCCCACTCCCTCCTAGAGCCTGTGCCCCTCCACCTCTTGCACCCCACCCTCTGCCCCAGCCCAGAGCCTGCATGCAGCACCCAGATTCTATCCCAGAGCCTGCACTCCAGAGCTCCTCTCCTCCCACTCCTCCCCTAGGAACTCAATGCCTCCTACACCCTGTACCCAATCCACCGCGTCAGTCCAGAGCCTGCCCTCTCCCCAACCAAACACCTCCTTTAGCAGGTGGTGGCAGAGGGAGCTTAGATGAGGGAGAGATGTGGGCTCTGGGCATTCTGGGTACCACCAAAATTTCTGTAAATCTGCCACTCCTGGAAGTAGTCTGATACTACAGCAAAAGACCCTCTAAAACCCAACACAAAGAGTTTGATGAAAACATGCTGCACGTAATTTATACTGGAAAACATGTTGAGCCCAATCAACTTGTCTAGTTATTTACATCAGTGCAGTGTGGGTGACACAGTACCAAATCAGTATGATGGTATGTATACCCAATTTACATTAATAGAAATGATGATTCATAGAGGTTAGATCCATCAATGGCTATTAGCCAGGATAGGTAGGAATGGTGTCCCTAGCCTCTGTTTCTCTGGAAGTGGAAGACAGGGAGGGATCATGTGAGGATTACCTGTTGTGATCCCTCCCTCTGGGGCATCTGGTGCTGGCCACTATCGGCTGACAGGATACTGGGCTAGATGGATCTTTGGTCTGACCCAGTATGGCCGTTCTCATGTTCTTATGATACAAGCTGCAGAGCAATAAAAATTAGGCACATTGAACTTATTAAAATACCCAAGAAAAGAAATCATGGTTTTCTGGAGCTCCAAGCTAAGTATATTTTTTCATAAACTTACATTTTCTGGATCAGGAAAATATATTACAAAAGGTCCCCTATAGCCAAGAAAAAAGCATAACACACAAATAAAAATATGTGGAAGAATTAAGGAAGATGTTAAAATTAGGGTTCTATAAATCAGATCTGTGGCCATTCTTTTCTTCATGCTATTTATTAGGAAAGGTGGGGGTCAGGGTTTTCTAGCATATTCCTTCTCCAGAATTTCTTCTAAAACTGCTACATTATCCCTCTCTTCCTGCTACAAAGAGTTTCACTGTTGTTATCTCTCAGGCAACTCTTTCTTAAGATAAAGGATGAAGATGAATGGTCAGGCTGCTAGCACTACTGGTAGTGTTCAACAGTATGATTGCCTCTTCTCAAGTTAGCAACCAACGCTTACACTGGGCTGCATATAAAGAGGTGTGCATTTTATTGTGCAGTCCAAAGAATCCAGAGCTGTGAGTCCAGGTAATAATATACTCTTGTCAGTTAGTGGACTAATTGGATTTACGAGAGAGGCTTTGATCATTTTTTCTGTCTTTCATTATGTTTGACATTCTGGAGATTGAGATTTGTTAATGTGGCAAGGGAGGGAGAAGATGAGACTTCCCCAAGACTCAGAAACTTATATCTCATTTGCACTTATTTGTGTGTTGGCATGTAGTAGTATGATGTAACTAATTACAATGAAATGAGCCTTATGTACAAGAGTGGATGTTTAAGCCATTATATCATAAACATATATTTAAATGAACATGCATTGATATCAATGGCCTAGATTCTCTGCTGTAGCAAAGATCAGGCTTCCTGGTTCTTGGACCAGATTCTTTCTGGCTCCACTCCCAGTGGAAGTTAAAACACCTGAGAGCTTCTCTTATATATGTTGGGGATAGCCAGGGCACAACAGGATCTAGCCAGCCCCTAAACACACCCTACTCCCAACATGCCAAAAGGGAGAAGATGTCACAGAAGCTGAGTATGCCAGCTCTGAAGAGCCCTGCACATCCTGTGGATGAGGATACCAATTTAATATCCATACAGGGCTCTACAGTTCTGCACCAGCTGAAAGCATCCCCCCTTTGGAATAAGGAATCACAGCTGGCTGCTTACCTGCTAGCTTACTCTTCCTGCAATCTAGTAAGTGTAGTTGAACCCCAACAGACCCACATGATTGGCCAAACCACCTCATTGGCTAAAGGGATCAGTTGACTTCCTCAAGATCATCAGCAGCAGGCACATCTGGTTGCCAGAGCATTTACCCATGCTTGCATCCTGTGCCTGATTGTTTCCACCCAGGGCCAGCCCGAGGTATTCAGCACATGCGCAGGCCCACCTGTGGGGAGCGATCCCACCCCCCTAGGGTGCGCAGGCCCACCCACGGGGTGCACGGCGCATGCGCGGCCCGGCTACGGCCATTGGCGCACAGCCCAGGGCCTGCCCCCGGAGTGCACGGCGCAAGCATGGCCCAGTCTGGCCCAGCTGTCACTTCTGGAATGCATGCCGGGCCGTGTAGGGTACCGCGGACGTGGGGGGAAGGGTGTTGCTGGCCGGCGCCGCGGAGATGCGGACGGGCCAGCGCTGTGGGAGCCGGGCACGCGGCGCCTGATGGCAGCTGTAAGGGATGCCTCACACCCCTTACAGCTGCCATTAGACGCCCCCCCCCCCATCAGTTGGCACCCTGGGCAGCTGCCTGGCTCGCCCATGTCTCTGGCTGGCCCTGTTTCCACCTCTACTGTAGGTAACCCAGCTCTGACACTAGACTCCATTCACGTCTTCTGCTCTAAGCGTTGGCTCTAGTTTCTCACTGCTCCACTGCTGTTTTAATTACTAGACACAACCACCCCCATCCTGGGACAAGGACACCCCCATGCTGGACAAATTCTCAGCTGACCAGATTCAGCTGGTTTTCAGCCACTTTGCATCACAAAAGGAGAAGAGTTTTGTTTTCAGGAACCAGGCTTCTGGTACTCTACATTTCTAGAAGTGATGCCTATAAAATGTGCACTAGGTTACATCACCACTGCAGATTTCTGCCAAAGTCAGAAGTTTTAAATTTTGTACGACCCTGAAGAGCCATTGTTAGATACATCTTATAAATGATTAAAAGATTAGATTAGATAAAGGACTCAATTTTGCACTCAGATACAGAGACAATTTGGTAATGGATTCACTGTAATGAAAAACCTATCTGCTAATGCTGTCTTACTGGCAGTTTTACCTGGGTTCAGAATTGAAACCACATACTCACTTACTAACTCAGTATTGCCCAAAGAGTGGGACATGGCCCCCCTTGGGGTACATGGGACTAACAAGGAGAGAAACATAAGAAATGTATATATAAAGAGGAGTACAGTAGGCCTTTAACTCTACACGCCTGTGTTGGGGACTACCAGTGTGCAATTGCTTTTCTTTGCTTTATGTGGGGCTTAGTTTTCCAAATCTTTATCCCATGCAGAGGGCATATAGGTAGCACTGTATTTCTAGCCACTGCAGTACAGAACATTGCAAAATAAACAAATAAACTTTTTATGTTGTATATTAAAGTTTCTGGTACTTTGTCCTCCCCACAAAAATTACATACACAAAATATGGAAATTTCAGACAGTGATAGCAATAAAAAATTCTGTTTTTCTTTTTTACTTACTTGGTGTTAACTTAATGATATGTGACATTGCTATCAGTACAGTGCAATAAAAATGAAATGGTGCCCAATGAGCACAGACACTATGGAAATTTCAAATGACAACAGCAACAACAAAAATTATATTTTCTCTTTTCTTTCTTATATCCTTTGCATTAACTTAAGGATATGTGACTTTGCTATCCATGCACTGCAGTAAAAATGAAATTGGTGGCCAATGTGCCTAGACAGAGCCTTTAAATACAACAAAAATAAAATTATACTCCTTTGCATCATGTAAAGGATACATGATGTTAAGCACAAATTTCCCTTCACTGCCACATCAGAAATAATGTGCCAGCTGAGAACCTATATTTCTTGTCTCATCAAGAGCAACAAAAAATGTAATTATGGACATTTTTTCATCTCTGTTCTTTTTATAAACATTAAATATCAGGTTTTAAAACAGTTTTACATATATATTAGATTCATATTGTGTTTACACATTTTCCTAAATGAATGCATTTATAGTAACATGTTTGTGTCTGATGTTACTCATATAAATAAAAATATACAGTCATTTTATGGGATAATAGGCAAACAGACATCTGCATGCAACATTTCCCTCATTAGATGTTATCATGTTCACATATTTTATGACTTTGCTACAAAATACAATGTGCTGATCTGAAACCTCTTTAATATAACTTATGTATGTTAACAACCCAAATGCTTTATCTGTGTTTGGAGAATTGTTTAATAAAGGATTAGTTAACATTGCTATATCATTAGACAGTGTGACCTAGAGGGATAAGCCTGAAGATATAATGGGAGCTAAGATAGTGATTCTCAGACTGAGATCAGTGAACTATTATTGCTTCACAGACTACTTGCTGGTGACCAGTTAGCTGCTGGCTGGTTACAGTAGGCTGACTGTCCTTGTTTCCAGATGAGAAATTGCATTTTATATGTATTATATACAAGTACTTTCCTGGCACTACTTTTCTATGTAAACAATTTCTGTAATTGAGATCACATGGGATTCTGAAGGGAAGAGTCCACAAGAGAATCCCTGTGCTAACATGTGGGCTATGCTGTTAAATGAATATGAGAGATCTCGGTCTAGATGAATGTACACAGGATGGGTAACTTTTAATCTAACCTCTCTTCTGCCACTAGCCTTGTCATGTGGCTTTGGACAAGACATTTAATCTTTCAGCCTCCGTTTCTTCATCTATATAATAGGGGTGATGATTCTATCTGTCTACCCCATAGTGTTTTTACTTGGAAAATTAATGGATGTTTCACAGCTTTTGGAAACTGTAAATAGTTAGGCATAATTGTGCAGTATAAATATAAATGTTAATTATAATTGTCATTATTAGGAAATATTCCTGAAAAGCAGTAGTATATATAGAGGCCAAGTAGCCATTGGCAAAATTGGCTCACGGATGCACGCCACAAGAAGAAGTAAAGAAACAGGTGAATATAGATGATGCTATAAAATACATCTGGCTTCATAGTATTGAAAATTAATAAAGGAATTAGAAATGTTGCTAATCTGTAATAAGAAACCCTGGCTGAAGTTACATATGCAGCTAGAGTGCTGGCAAATCATTCCCCATATGCAGCATGCATGCCAAACTGTTGCACCTGAAACTACTAGGAACAGGATCTACAAGCTGGTTGGTCTGCAGGAAGTGCCTGTTCAAAAGGTACTTAATGATACTAGCTATGAATCATATAGTAAAATGTATCTCTCCTAAACCACCAGTGGTTTTACTTGTGATTGGTCAAAATGTTACATTATAAAGATCCAGGATTTGACAAATGAATGAATAACTGAGAAGTTACTCTTTTTTCTTTACTTTCTTAAATCCAGCAACAAAATGTTTTTATCAAAGAGCTGCTCTTTTCAGAGGGAGGCCTGCTACAGCTTACTCTAGCCTTGCTGTTTGAATAAAAATCATAGCTACTGTCATTTAAATAATCTGTTTAAAAGCTATTAAGTTTCCCTAATGCTCATCATTTTTAAATGGCTCTTAGTTTGATTCATGAACAATACATGAAAAGCACATGATTTATATGGCCAATCACTTAGTAAAAATGCAATTTTTATTAAGTGGGTATTTCAAAAAGGCTATCAAACTGGGTAAAATCCACTATCTCTTGTAACATTTTGGCATATCTTTTAAAAAATATTTATGCCTTAAGGGTCAACTTTTCAGAAATCAAAACTGGCAAAGGAGTTTGAATTTTCACAGGAGATCAAGGAGCCCACAGGAGCTGAAAGATATTATATAGATAATTGTAAAGATCTTGATATGGAGCAAGTGCTTTGGAAGTTCACTATGACATTTTGCTATCATCCTGACAGATTTAACTGAAATCAGAGCTCACTACTTCATCGTGAGATCCATAATGTATAAACATTAGTCCTTCTGAGCAAAGAATAGACTTAGTATTAATGAGAAAAAAAATTGGACTGCTTAAGTACTGAGAACTTAGTCCACTATATTGTAAATTGTTATTAGTATATTGGTAGAAAGGCAGCATAATCCAAAATAATGCATGTGGAGCTGAGAGCCACTTAGTTCTACTCCTGAGTTGACTTGGTTTGTGGTTTGGTAGGTCATTTTCTCTCTTTACCTCTCTCAGTTGTCCATCTGTAAAATAGGGATAAAAATATGTTATTGCTTACCTCGCAGGGATGCTGTGATGATTGATTAGCTTGACTAATTTTCCAGACTATAAAATATTGTTTCCTAGAGTCATAATGATGTGAATATGGTAATTGCAATGACATTTGTTTAGCATTGTGTAAGCTATATTGTAAATATTCCATTGCTACATATCTACAGCAGATATTGAAGTGATGGGTGAAACAAATATGACCATTGTTAACTTTTCAAATAAATCATATCATGCAAGCAAAGTAATATGCTCAGAATCCAAAGCATTGTTTCTGCTGTGGTATAAAAGAGGCTGGATTATGCATTTCAGTGTCAATGTGCTTAGATCTGCTTAAAGAAGAATTCTAAATTATGGTAAGTATTTAAACTGATAAGTACAGATTTAAAATGGGCTACAATAGGATTAATGAATGAATATAAGGGTCTTATTCTAACAAAATTGTAAATAGGTAACATAAAAAGTAAGGATACAATTGTTAAGTTGAACACAAACTACACCTCCTATAGAATGGTAAGCAGTAAGTGACAATGTTTGAAGATGTTCTTTTTTATGTCTGTAGTGATTGCCAAAAATCCAGGCATCAGTAGAATTCCAGTTATTCAGTTCAGGAGGTTTTCAAGTCAAAATTCCTCTACTTTTCCAAGATTTTTAAAAATCTTATTTAAGCTTTTTTATAACAGGGCTTCCTGCAATTTATATTACAATTCATATACCTAAATAATTCCAGTACAATAATTCAGTATGATTAGTATGATTAACATATTATATGAAACAACAAGTAGTCCTGTGGCACTTTAGAGACTAACAAATATAACTCATGATTTCATATATATTTGTTAGGCTCTTTGAATAACTGCCCTTATTTCAAAATAAAAAGCAGAGCATCCACACTAACAAGCAGTTATTTCAAAATAAGGGGCTGGTTATTTTGAAATAACAACTCCTCCTTTCCACAAGAAAGAACACTTATTTTGAAATAGTTATTTCAAAATAGCAGTAGTCTGGGGATACTCCACTGCTACTATTTCAAAATAACTACTCTCCAGAGTCATTCAAAGTAATTACTCCCCCAGTGCTTCCTGGGGCTCTAAGTCAAGATAGAGTGCCCGCGTTAAGGGAGCCTGCCTCAGACTAATTTTGAGGCTTCCCTGTAGTGTGGACATGCTATTTTAAAATAATTATTTGGGGAGTTTTTATTTTGAAATAATTTCCTAATGTAGATATGCTCTAAAGTGCCACAGGACTAATAATTGTTTTTAAAGTTACAGATTAACACAGCTACTCCTCTTAGAATCATAGAATCATGGGGCTGGAAAAGACCTCAGGAGGTCATCAAGTCTAGACCCATGCCCAAAGCAGGACCAATCCCAGTTAAATCAACCCAGTCAGGGCTTTATCAAGCCGAGACTTAAAAACCTCTAGGGATGGAGATTCCACCACCTCTCTAGATAACCCATTCCAGTACTTTACCACCCTCCTAGTAAAATAGTTTTTCCTAATATCCAACCTAGACCTTCCCCACTGTAACTTGAGACCATTACCGTATATTCCGGCGTACAAGACGACCTCTGATGTTAAAAAACATCCCCCAAAAATCGGGGGTCGTCTTGTACGCCGGATGCCCCGCCGCCGGAGCGGAGCCCCTCCGCGGCTTTGAAAGGCTCGGGGGGAGCCGGGGGGCGGGCGCCCCCGCG